TGGTAGAGTGATGTGGCATCATAGCTCACAACAACCTCTAACTCTTGGGCTTAAGCGATTCTCTTGCTTAAACCTCCCAAGTAGCTGGGACTACAGGCACCCGCCAGAATATCCAGCTATTTTTTGGTTGTAGTTGTCATAGTTGTTTGGCAGGCCTGGACGGGATTCAAACCCACCAGCTCTGGTGTTAGCTGGTGCCCTAGCTGCTGAGCTACAGATGCGGAGCCTAAAATGTATATTATATATGTTTTACCATAATAAAAATGTATATGCAGTGTCCTTTTTTTTTTTAGAGAAGGGGTCTCACTTTGTTGCCCAGGCTGGAGTGCAGTAGTATAATCAGGTCACTGCAGCCTTGAAACACTGAGCTCCAGGAATCCTTCCACCTTAGCTTCCTTAGAGGCTGGGACTAGAGGCACAAACCACTGTATCTGGCTAATTTTTAAAAACCTTTTACAAAAAAAAAAAATTGTAAATTTTGCAGGGCAAAGTGGCTCGCCTATAATCCTAGTGTTCTGGGAGGCCGAGGTGGGAGGATTGCTTGAGCTCAGGAATTCAAGACCAGCCTAAGCAAGAGTGAGACCCCATCTGTATTAAAAATAGAAAAATTATTCAGGTGTGGTGGTGCATGCCTATAGTCCCAGCTACTTGGGAGGCTGTGGCAGGAGGATCACTTGAACCCAGGAGTGTGAGGTTGCTATGAGCAAGGCTGAGGCCCTGATACTCTAGCCTGGGCAACAGAGTGAGACCCTGTTTCAAAAAAAATTTTTTGTTTTGTACAGATGAAGTCTTACTCTGTTGCTTAGGCTGGTCTAACGCTTGGCCTCAAGTAATCCTCCTACCTCAGCTTCCTGAGTAGTTAGGATTACAGGCATGAACTACCCTGCCTGGCAAATTTATTTTTTATACCATTTCTCTCTATTGAAAGAGATGTTGACCATTTATACTAAAATTGTAGATGCATTTATTACAGGTATTTGACCCAGATGGATGCCACAGATATGCCTGCTCAGGTATGGAATGTCAGATGTGCAACGTAATTCATTGCAACATTGCTAGTAATAGCAAAAGGGTGGTGCTTGCAAGAAGGCAGCTTCGAAGTAAGATAATCTGAATGATGGTAAGAGTAGAAGGCCAAGGGTGCTGAAGCAGATTCTCCTCTCTGCCCTTTCTCTTGGGGCTGTTAAGGGCTTAAGCACCCTAATGAAGTGAGAGTAGGAGGAGAACTCACCACTGTTGGCCTCAGTCATTACTACCAGCTTCCCAGTCAAATCTGTGGAGCTGCATAGGTCCCAGGGATGAGATTTCTTGAGAGCTGCACATACGGTCCAATTAGGAGGACCAGAATAATGAGGACAGAGCCAGGACCCCAGACCAGGGTGCAAGCAGAGTCCACAGCAACGCAGACTACCTGGGTCTGCCACTGGGAAGTGCTGCAGGAGGAAGCTGGGGGCTGGCTAAATCAAAGCAGAGTGGGGACTAGCCGCGGAGGCAGGTGTGGAGCCTAACACAAAGTTTGAAGCACTCACTCTTGGACTTGTTGAACACACAATTTGAACTTGAGAGAGTTCCTCCATAAATCTGCCCTAGGCACCTGATTGTCCTTACCACAAGGCAGAGATCAAGAAGGTTGGGACTTCCTTGAGGCCTACATAGGCTCAAATCTTTCTCCAAAAGCAAAATTTAGATTTTCAGTCTAGGGTGAATCAACCAAACTCCAGCAAGAAATCAAGTCTCAATATTGAACTCGAGTTAGAAGAGGCGAGTCCGGTCTCAGAATGGAGGGCCATGATCCAAAGGAACCAGAGCAGTTGAGAAAACTGTTTATTGGTGGTTTGAGCTTTGAAACTACAGATGATAGTTTAAGAGAACATTTTGAGAAATGGGGCACACTCACAGATTGTGTGGTAATGAGAGATCCCCAAACAAAACGTTCCAGGGGCTTTGGTTTTGTGACTTACTCTTGTGTGGAAGAGGTGGATGCAGCAATGTGTGCTCGACCACACAAGGTTGATGGGCGTGTTGTGGAACCAAAGAAAGCTGTTTCAAGAGAGGATTCTGTAAAGCCTGGTGCCCATCTCACAGTGAAGAAAATTTTTGTTGGTGGTATTAAAGATACAGAAGAATATAATTTGAGAGACTACTTTGAAAATATGGCAAGAGGCTCGGCACCTGTGCCTCAAGTGGCTAAGGCGCCAGCCACATACGCCTAAGGTGGTGGGTTCAAATCCAGCCTGGACCCACCAAACAACAATGATGGCTGCAACCAAAAAATAGCCGGGTGTTGTGGTGGGCGCCTGTGGTCCCAGCTACTTGGGAGGCTAAGGCAGGAGACTCACTTGAGCCCAGAAGTTGGAGGTACCTGTGAGCTGTGATGCCACAGCACTCTACCCAAGAGGACAACTTGAGGCTCTGTCTCAAAAAAAAAAAAGAAAGAAAGAAAAGAAAAAAAGAAAAGTATGGCAAGATTGAAACCATAGAAGTTATGGAAGTCAGGCAGAGTGGAAAAAAAGAGAGGATTTGCTTTTGTAACTTTTGATGATCATGATACTGTTGATAAAATTGTTCAGAAATCCCACACAATTAATAGGCATAATTGTGAAGTGAAAAAGGCCCTTTCTAAACAAGAGATGCAGCCTGCTGGATCGCAAAGAGGTCATGGAGGTGGATCTGGCAACTTTATGGGTCAGGGAGGAAACTTTGGAGGTGGTGGAGGTAATTTTGGCCGTGGTGGAAACTTTGGTGGAAGAGGAGAATATGGTGGTGGAGGTGGTGGCAGCAGAGGTAGTTATGGAGGAGGCGATGGTGGATACAATGGATTTGGAGGTGATGGTGGGAACTATGGCAGTGGTCCTGGTTACAGTAGTAGAGGGGGCGATGGCGGTGGTGGACCAGGATATGGAAACCAAGGTGGTGGATATGGTGGTGGTGGAGGATATGATAGTTACAGTGAAGGAGGAAATTTTGGAGGTAACTATGGTGGTGGTGGGAACTATGATTTTGGAAATTTTAGTGGACAACAGCAATCAACTTATGGACCCATGAAAGGGGGTAGTTTTGGCGGAAGAAGCTTGGGCAGTCCATATGGTGGTGGATATGGTAGCAGAAGGTTCTAAAAACAACAGAAAAGGGCTACAGTTCTTAGCAGGAGAGCGAGGAGATGTCAGGAAAGATGCAGGTTACTTTGAGACAGTCGTCCCAAATGCATTAGAGAACTGTAAAAATCTGCCATAGAAGGAACGATGGTCCATAGTCAGAAAAGTTACTGTAGCTTAAACAGGAAACCCTTCTTGTTCAGGACTGTCATAGCCACAGTTTGCAAAAAGTGCAGCTATTGATTAATGCAATGTAATGTCAATCAGATGTACATTCCTGAGGTCTTTTATCTGTTGTAGCTTTGTCTTTGTCTTTTTTTTTCATTATATCAGGTATATTGCCCTGTAAATTGTGGTAGTGGTATCAGGAATAAAAATTAAGGAATTTCTAACTTTTCAAAAAAAAAAAAAAGAGAAAAAGAAATCAAATCTCTCATGTCTTGAATCACTCAGTGATTCAGGTAGGCCCATCCCTTCCTCCTCTACTGAAAGTTTTCCCTACAAAGCCAAACCTACTTGCAGTGCTGATGTCTACTCCTTGGGGGAGGGTTTATTTCCCAGAATGGCTCAGTGGGGAGCAAACTTGGACCTAATGCAGGGGGTATCCTAAGGGTGTTGATGAGGCTATTCCCTGGAAGCAGTATTCTATCTTTCTATATGCTTGTAGGACAACTGCTGCCCTTGGGGTTCAGTGAGAGAGTAGACACCCTTGGAAGAAAATGATACAGACATCAGACCAACTCTAAAGGCAACTCAGGTGTTTATTTCTGGCAGGCAAACAAAGGGAAGGGCCAGTTCCCACTGTCAGAGGCTCAGGTGTCAGAATTGGGTAGGGGCTTGCAAGGGAGTGACCATGCTTTGGGGACTGAGCTCTTCATTAGTTGTGACATGGTTGCCCGGGGCTTCAGGGGAGCTGTCTGGATGGGGTGCTGGTCAATGGGAGGAAAGGTGCCACCTTCTTTGTCTTCCTGCTGGGGCACAGCAGAACTGAGCAGCACCTGGGTAGCTGGGTTCCACATGCTCACACCAGGGGCCAGCTTCATGGCTTCTGGCAGCAACATGGGCTTCCACAGCACCTGGGATGTGGCTTCCAGGACCTGGCGTGTAGTTCGAGGCCATCTTTGAAGATCCTGGCCCTCTCTGTATGTGGGCTCTAGCCCCTGTGCTGACACAGGGGTCCGGCCAGCCCATAGGTCGCCCAGCATCTCAGCCTCGCCTTCCCAGCCGGTGGGCCACTTAGCACTGGGCCACAGCTTGGGGCTGGGGATATGGGCCACATCAAGGAGCTTTGGTCGCTTGGTAAGGAAGCGGAGCCCAGGACTGGGGAATGGTATTTTTGACCCGAAGGTTGGCGAAGGTAGGTTTAAGTTTAACGTGGAGGATTGGACTTTGGGGCCCGGACCCAAGGCACGGAAAGGAACACCAGACCGGAAAGGAAAGAATGCTGCCTGGAAGACGCTGGCACCGGGGATTGGGGATTGGGGTTCTGCAGGCGTCTGGGTCTTCTCACTACTATGCTGATGCCCACGGTAGGTTTCTAAGGGGTGCGCCTCGGAATCTGGGATCAGAACCTCGGCCAGGGGGCGCACCCACTGGCGCGGGAACCGCGCAGGGTCCAGGCGCGTAGCCGCCTTACGGGCCCTGTAGGGAGGCATGCTCAGCTGCACATCCAGGCTCAAGGGCCACTGTGGCTGGACGGATGCTGAGGGGCTGAACCTGGTGGGGCTGCCCACAGTGGGGACTGGCACACCTGAGGCTGCCCTGGGTACTCCCTTTGTCTTGAGCTCTAGCTGGTCCTCAGCCGCATCCACCTGGGGCAGGCCATAGCAGAGGTTCTCCAACACCTGGGAGTCGAATGGCTGTACTGTCTTGGCCAAGGCCTTGGGGCTGGCTACCAGGGACAGCTCCAGAGGACCAGGACTGTCAGCAGATGCCACCTGAACCGACTGGAAGTTCTCTTGGAAGCTCTTGTTCAAGGACTTGGTGATGAGGGGGTCAGGTTCCTCTAAAGGATCTCTGGGCCCTGCCTCCTGAAACACGTCTGGCATGGGAGGGGTACTGGGGTTGATTCTCACCTCCTGGGAAGGCTCCCAAGGCTGCCTCAGCTCCTGGGAGCCTCTACTCATCCGTGATCTTCCTAAAGGCATCTGGTCCAGGTTCCTAGGGCCCTGGAGAAATGCACCAGGGTAGTGAGATGTTGAGGAGACAAAGGCACAAAGGGCAGAGGAGTCCTGAGAGGCTCCTAAGGAGCTGGAAAATACAGCAGGAATCATTGGTCCAGAGAAGGCTAGGAGCTGAGCTTACTTCGCCTTGTAAGTTCTCCTGCGGGCCCTCCAAGGTGGGTGCTCGCAGCACTGGCACTGAGCCTTGAGCCCAAGAGTCTGTAGTGCAGGGTGATGGCTCCTCATCCTCACCCCACGTGGGGTCCTCAGCCACTGCAGATTCTCCCTCATCATGGGCTAGGAAGCGCCACTCGGTGATCTGCAGCATGGCTTCCCGGGCCTGGCTGATGGTGAATGGAATGCACTGTGGAGGCAAAGGCAAGAAAGGGTCTCAGCCCAGCAAGTAGCCTCAGGAGGCGGAGATGAGTTGAAAGGACCCAGATCTAAGCCTACCTGTTGGGCCAGGTAGACTTGAAAGGCAGAGTCCATGACCCGAGCCAGAAGATCGGCCAAGATGTCACCTACCACATCCTCTCCCTCCTCAAGAGCTGTAAGTGCCATCCACTCTGACTCATTGAGTCTCCCAGGCACGATATCCACCTGTGGCACTGGTACTGTGGGTGGCCGTGCCTTTTCTGCCTTGGATCGCGTCACCCCACGGTCTCCTCGCATTTGCCTTTCCTGCCTCTGTGAGAACAGAAAAAGAGAAATGGGCTAAGAGGAAAGGTTCTCAAGTTCTCTAACTTTTTTTTTTTTTTTTTTTGGAGACAGAATCTCACTATGTCACCTTCGGTAGAGTGCTATGGTGTCACAGCTCATAGCAACCTCAAACTCTTGTGCTCAAGCAATCTTCTTCCCTCAGCCTCCTGAGTAGCTGGGACTACAGGCACCTGCCACAATGCCTGGCTATGTTTTTGGTTACAGTTGTCATTATTGTTTAGCAGGCCCTGCCGGGCTTGAATCTGCCAGCTCCAGAGTACGTGGCCAGCGCCCTAACCACCGAGGATGGGTGCCAAGCCTAAGTTCTCTAGTAGGATGGAAAAGGGAAAGGGACAACAGTTTACTAAGAGCCTACTAGGTAATAGATTTTTTTTAGGTATTTGACTTAATTTTCAAAACAGTCCACTAAGCCCATTTCACAGACAAAAGAGTCTTTTTTTTTTCTTGCTGGGGCTGGGTTTGAACCCACCACCTCTGGTATATGGGGCTAGCACCCTACTCCTTTGAGCCACAGGTGCCCCCCCCCCAAGAATCTTAAATTTAACTATCACTTGCTTGGGACCACACAGTAAGCAAGCTCTAACTCCATGGCCCTTACTATTTGCACTAGTACAAAGTGCTTAAAATTCTAGAGCTGGGTGGCACCTGTGGCTCAGTGGGTAAGGTGCTGGCCCCATATACTGAGGGTGGCAGGTTCAAACCCAGCTCTGGCCAAACTGCAACAGAAAAAATAGCCAGGGCTCGGCGCCTATAGCTCAACCGGCTGAGGCGCCAGCCACATACACCTAAGGTGGCGGGTTTGAATCCCCAGCCCAGACCCGCCAAACAACAATGATGGCTGCAACCAAAAAAAAAAAAAATAGCCGGGCGTTGTGGCGGGCGCCTGTGGTCCCAGCTACTTGGGAGGCGGAGGCAGGAGACTCGCTTGGGCCCAGGAGTTGGAGGTTGCTGTGAGCTGTAATGCCACGGCACTCTGCCCAGGGGGACAGCTTGAGGCTCTGTCTCAAAAAAAAAAAAAAAAAAAAGAAAAAATAGCCAGGCGTTGTGGGCACCTGTAGTCCCAGCTACTCAGGAGGCTGAGGCAAGAGAATCACCTAAGCCCAGGAGTTGGAGGTTGCTGTGAGCTGTAACACTACAGCACTCTACCAAGGGCAATAAAGTAAGACTCTGTCTCTAAAATAAATAAATAAATAAAATAAAATAAAGTTCTAGAGGAGTGGTTCTCAACCTTCCTAATGCTGTGGCCCTTTAATACAGTTCCTGTAGGTCACGACCCACAGGTTGAGCACCACTGGTCTAGAGAGTTCAAAGGACTCAAGAAAGACAAGCCCATAAATGGGGTGCTGCAATTATTGGTGCTATTTAGAGTCTCTACATTTTTTTTTTTAACCAACTAGTCTTATCTCCGCTTTATAGTAATTTGCCCAGGGTCATGGTAGTAGTAAGCAGTGGAGTCAGAACTCATGTGTGGGTTTGTCCAATTCCAGAGCCTGATTCTATCCTGCCTCCCAAGCAAAACCATTTGTGACAAATATGAAAAAGGATATATACTCTGAAATATATTAAAAAGCTCATATACAATAAGAAAAATGTTTGGGCATGGTGGCATGAGCCTGCAGTCCTGGCTACTCAGAGAAAGAGTCACTTAAGCCCAGGAGTTTGAGTCCAGCCTTGGTAAGAGCGTGAAACCCCATCTCTTAAAAAAAAAAAAAAAAGCAGAAAAGAAGAAAAACCATTTAGGACCCCCAAAATAAGCAAAGGACATGACATTTCACCAAAAAGGATTTGTAGATGACTAATAAATACAGTATTTGAAAAGTTGTCCAACTTTCAAAAATATCAAAAGATGCAAATTTAATTGAGATCCTGATTTTTACTTCATCAAATTAGAAACTGTTTTTCAAAATAATACTCAAGACTGGCAAATGTTTGGTAAAGTACACAGTGTGACACCATGCTGATGGGAATGTTAATTGAAACTGACACACTCAGCAGTAGGGATGAAGAGCGTTAAAAAATGTTTTTACTCCCTCAATCCTACAATTTTAGTTCTATACATGCTGCCAAAGGCACCTTCTGAAATAAAAATAAAAATATTTCCAATATATTCACTGTGGTATTTTTTATAATAGTAGAATGCTGAAAACATGTCTAAGAAAAAAAGAATAGGCTGGGCACGGTGTGTCCCCCCTGTAATCTTAGCACTCTGGGAGGCTGAGGCAGAAAGATCACTTGGGCCCAGGAGTGTAAGGCTGCAGCAAGCTATGATCACTCCACTGTCCTTTATTCCAGAAAACAGGGTCTTGGAAAAAGACATTTTGCACAAACCCATTTTACTTTAAAATATCTTGATTTGTCAACAATTTGCCTTTCAAGTGCAGTCTCAGAAATGTTGATTAATTCATTTCTCCCGAATTTCTTGAAATAGATGATTTATCTATCATCATCTCTCCCCAAATGCCTGATCATTTCTGGGCTCTGCAATTAAATAGACACCTCAATGTAAGAGGATTATTACATGCGTTGGCTGTTTCCAAATTCACTTCTTGTTCTCGGGTTCTACACCGCCCATTGACACTTTCCCTTATGGCTTGGGTGCGACAAACCGTATGAGTGGGTGTGATGCAGGTGTATGTTTTCTGCCGAAATACTGACGGGGCTGCCTCAGTCAGTAACGCCCACACAGTGGACGGAAGCAAGTAGGGGCTGCAGGCGGCGCGGAACTGGCCCACTGTTCCCAATTGACCTAGACACCCGTCCCTGGCTCTGGCGCACCCCCAGCTGAGCTAACGCTCACCGAGCCTTCGTGAGCCATCGCCACCCAGTCGCTGTCGCAGCAACCCCGGCGTTTCAGCTGCGCCCAGGCCCAGGCAAAGCCAAACGGTCGCCCCGGCAACCACGCGGCGCGCCGGGCCGCTCGCCCCGCCCACAGTTGCCCTGGCAACCGCGCTTCGTGTTCCAGGGGTTCACCCAGCCCAACTGTCGTGCGTATTTGCGTCGTCTCTATGGTGGTGGCGGATTCGGCGGGAGGAAAGAACCAGGAGTCAGGCAAGGGGATCTTGGGCTGTGGGCGTGACCCCTGACCCGGGTGGGGGCTTTGGGGAGCCGAGCAGAGGGGAAAAAAGCCTAGGTGTCCATCACGCCTTTTTGGCTCGCGAGCTGGGGCTATCAGGTGGTCCTGTGCCATCACCATTCCTCCTCTAGAATTCTCCCGTCGCCCCGTGACTCAGCCCTGGGACTCCTCTCCTGCTGCAGAGGAGGAGAGGAGATGTTGAGGGCCTGTCCATCCCATGTGACCCTCTCCCCATCACCGTCCTCAGGGCACCCTATCCTGTTACCAAACTCAGTGATTTCCGAAGTGCCTCACGATAGCCATCCCCTCAGGAATCTCCGCCGTTGTCTGTTTCCCGCCCGCCTGGTGATTCGTGTGTCCCTCCCAGGATGTTCCGCCGAGAGCGCTCCATTCCCCTTCGAGGTTCAGCTGCCGCTTTGTGCAACAACCTCAGTGTGCTGCAGCTACCGGCTCGCAACCTCACGCACTTTGGAGTGGTTCATGGACCAAGTGCCCAGCTTCTTAGCGCTGCCCCTGAGGGTGTGCCCTTGGCCCAACGCCAGCTCCATGCCAAGGAAGGCGCTGGAGTGACCCCCCCACTTATCACTCAGGTGAGACATGGAATGGGGAGTGGTGTTGCTGTACACAGTCCTCCCCGCCTGCCCTTTCTCTCTAAAACTCAAGGAACAGGCCTTCCCTAACCTCTGAAATTTCTGGTCTTTGACTCTTCATGTCCCCTGTTTGGATATTCTTCCTACACCGATCCATGTCTCTACAGGTCCACTGGTGTGTCCTTCCCTTCCGAGTACTGCTGGTACTCACCTCACACCGAGGAATACAGGTAAGAAGAGTGCCCTCCTGCCTTTATCACTCTCCTACAGGGATTTCAGGCCTCTCCCCACTTGCCTCTAAATAGTTCCAAACTTCTCACATGCTTAGCCCACTCTTTTTCTATTTCTCATCTTAATTCCTTACATCTTTTCCAGTTCCCAAGTGCCACCTCCAATATCTGACCCTTTACTAGCTGTGTGACCTTAGGCAATTAACTACTCAGAACCTAGGTGTCCTGCTCTGTAAGATGAGGATAAAAATAGTGCCTACCTCCCAGAATTGTTTTGAAGATTAAATGGGCTAAAACTAACATAGCTGTGTGAAATATTCAGTACAGAGCTCAGCAGAGGTCAGCTGGATTATACCCCCATTCTTGCCCTCATCTTTCAGATGTATGAGTCTGATGGCTCTGTCATGGTCTACTGGCACGCTCTGGACTCTGGAGATGCTTCTCCAGGTACCTGCACAACCAAGTCAGGTGGGGTAAGGAGTGTTTGCTGGGACTGGGGAAAGCACTATTTCTGATAATTTTCCCCTAAAATTTTCATATTTAGTACAGGCTGTGTTTGCCCGAGGAATTGCTGCCAGTGGCCACTTCATCTGTGTAGGTGAGGGTACCAGGAACAGAGCATTGATGGGTGTGGGCTTTGCCTGGGAGGATATTGAGGGCCTGAAGAAATTGTGGAGGGTTAGAGAGAAGGTGGGAGTGGAGTGTAATCTGAAAGGATTCCAGAAAGCCATGGAGGGGATCAGAGGGGCAGGATGGGATAGGAAGAGGGTAGTGAATGGGGGGTGGGGGGAGGCAGGACAGTGAGAGCTAGGTTTGTTACTAAGGTTTCTGGGACAAGAGTAATGCTGAGTGTGGTGACTAGAGACCTAGGGGACTCAGGAGCCATCAGCGGGGCACTGGTTCTGGCTGCAGGAACATGGTCAGGCCGAGTACTGGTGTTTGACATCCCGGCCAAGGGTCCCAACATTGTACTAAGTGAGGAGCTGTATGGACACAAGACACCAGTCACAGACATTGCCACTGAGCCTTCCCAAGGTCAGGTGAGTAGACTTCCCTTACCCATTCCAGTGAGCCTTGGAGCTTTCCCCACTCTGGGAGGCTGGGGACCTGTGTTTGAGTCTTGGATCTGCCACTGGATGAGCAGCTGGATGAGTAGCTGGATTACTTGGGCAAATCTTCACTTCCCTAGTCTTTAGCAATCTTTCATCCAGTGATAAGGCCAGAGATACTTTATTTATGTGGCATTTTATAGTTCACTAAAACTTTTTCCATAGGGGTATGAATTGAGGAGTTGGAACAAATGGTTTCTAAGTTGCCTTTTAGCTCTGTTATATATACTTTCCAGGAAGCCCTCCCCAATTCCAGCTCTCACTGATCTCCCTTAGTTGAACCCTGAATTACCCCTGCCCTCCAAGACAATTCTTGTCTCTCCAATTGGTTTGTAAACCTCATGAGAACAGGGTATGTATTTCCTAATTCATATTCTCCACTATGCCTGGCACAGGGCTGGGCCCATGGGCTATGCTGGCTGGGCGTCAGGAGACCCAGAGTCTAGTCATGACTGACTGGCTCACTCACTGCAAGACCTCCAAAAGGTCATGACACTGTGGCCTCAGGTTATCATCCATTCAGTAAGGACAATTATACTCCCCCTCTTAACACCTGATGTGTATGGGGGGGGGGGCTGTGAGATTCTATAAAGAAATGCAAGACAAGCAGTTCATGTTTGCTGAGGGAACCCTGGAAAGGTTGGTGGTAGGTTCAGCTAGTGGCCTCTACACAAATACTGCCTCCCTTCCTCACCTGCTCTGTGTATAAGACCACAGCAGGAGGGAAAGGGAAGGGTTGATCCTACCTCTCCCCTTCAGGATTGTGTGGTTGACATGGTGACAGCAGATGACTCAGGCTTGCTGTGTGTCTGGCGGTCAGGGCCAGAATTTACATTATTGACACGCATTCCAGGATTTGGGTAAGGGAAGCAGAAGGGGACAAAGGCCTTCCTGAAGTAACTTCAGGATGGGGAGTAGAAGAGGTCTGGGGAAATCAAAACTGGGTGTCACCCTTGCAGAGTCCCATGCCCCTCTGTGCAGCTGTGGCAGGGGATCATAGCAGCAGGCTACGGGAATGGGCAAGTTCGTCTCTATGAAGCCACTACAGGGACTCTGCACATCCAGATCAACGCCCATGCCCGGGCCATCTGTGCCCTGGACCTAGCTCCTGAGATGGGCAAGGTCAGTCTCCTCCTCCATCCCTACATGACCATTTTCCTGGTGCTGGGATGTTGAGAGACCACCACAGGCTTATCTTTGCTAGTCAGTGTAGCTCTTCTCCCCAAGGCACCTGGACTAGACATTCCATCCTATACCTGTCCCCTGTCCAAGCATTCTGACTCCCATTCTCTCCTCCTTGCCTTTTTTAATAGTTACTCTCTGCAGCTGAGGACACTTTTGTGCATATTTGGAAACTGAGCAGAAGCCCAGAGAGTGGCTACATTGAGGTCTGTGTCATGGGAGGGGTGGGATGGGGCCTGAACATGGGCCAGTAGGCCCTGACCAGCCCTTTTCTCCTCCAGGTGGAACACTGTCATGGTGAGTGTGTATTTGACACCCAGGTGTGTGGTGCTCGATTCTTTGATCCCTCAGGCAACTCCTTTGCTGTGACTGGCTATGACCTCACCGAGATCTTGAGATATAGCACTGTGTAAGAGAAGAGCAGCCTTCCTTTCTCCCTGTGGTATTTATAAAGTACCCTCTCCACCCAGTCCTGGTCTGATTACTCAGTATCACAGTCATACTTCAAAACTGGTTGACTAAGCTCCACAGGTAAGGTGGGCAGGTCTATACCCATCAAAGAGAGACAACCTGTCCTCAAGAACTAGGGAAAAGCTGCTGTTAAATAACTTTAATGGTTGATGTGGGAGTCACAAGGGAAGTACATTCCCTTCAGGGTGCTTCAGTGCCATCCTCAAAGCTGGTTGGTGCAGGGAGGTAGGGCAGAGTCGGTTCCAGTTTTCTCCCAGGAAGGGTTTAGGTGGTCCCAGTCAACCCCAGGAATGTGTCCCTCAGTACCACGGCAAACACATCTTTTTCTTT